GGGCAGGTGGGCCGTCCAGCGACCCACATGGGCGCGTGTGTGGTGGGGCAGGTGGGCTGTCCAGCGACCCACATGGACGCGCGTGTGTGGTGGGGCAGGTGGGCGGCCCAGCGACCCACATGGGCGCGTGTGTGTGGTGGGGCAGGTGGGCCGCCCAGCGACCCACATGGACGCGCGTGTGTGGTGGGGTAGGTGGGCGGCCCAGCGACCCACATGGGCGCGTGTGTGTGGTGGGGCAGGTGGGCGGTCCAGCGACCCACATGGGCGCGTGTGTGTGGTGGGGCAGGTGGGCCGCCCAGCGACCCACATGGGCGCGTGTGTGTGGTGGGGCAGGTGGGCCGGCCAGCGACCCACATGGGCGCGTGTGTGTGGTGGGGCAGGTGGGCGGCCCAGCGACCCACATGGACGCGTGTGTGTGCCAACATTATGATAGTGTGGACCACGTGACGCGGCCCGCATAAACAACAGGGACACGCCGCCACCTGCTAAGGCGGAGGAGAAAGGCGCCGGAGATCACCCAGAATCCGAATGATCACATCGGGAGAGAAACTACTGACACTGAGCTGAGAGTGTTCTAGGGCAGGGAGGCGTGAGCTGAGAGTGTTCTAGGGCAGGGAGGCGTGAGCTGAGAGTGTTCTAGGGCAGGGAGGCGTGAGCTGAGAGTGTTCTAGGGCAGGGAGGCGTGAGCTGAGAGTGTTCTAGGGCAGGGAGACGTGAGCTGAGAGTGTTCTAGGGCCGGGAGGTGTGAGGTAACAGTCAACACGCCTGCCCCTCCATCTTACCACTGGTGACGGCCCGGGAGTCTCACCAATCACCAAATCCAACTTTTCTTATTAATATTATGGGACATATATGAATAAAAAGTACTCGTGCCCAGCCACTTGTGTGTATATATGGCTAGCTGGAGCTCCGGAGATAGCACACTTGTCCTCTGATATAGAAGCTGTTGTGGTTGGTATTCTGTTTCCTGTCCAGTTAGACTATTTCTGGGCCGTAGAGTATCATATACACACCCAGGGGTACACACCCAGGGGTACACACCAGGGGTACACCCCCATGGGTACACTCCCAGGGGTACACCCCCAGGGGTACACTCCCAGGGGTGCACCCCCAGGGGTACACCCCCAGGGGTACACACACAAGGGGTACACCCCCAGGGGTACACGTCTAGGGGTACACACCAGGGGTACATCCCCAGGGGTACACACCAGGGGTACACCTCCAGGGGTACACCCCCAGGGGTACAAACCAGGGGTACACCTCCAGGGGTACACACCAGGGGTACACACCAGGGGTACACCTCCAGGGGTGCACACCAGGGGTACACATCAGGGGTACACACCAGGGGTGCACACCAGGGGTACACCCCAGGGGTACACAGTCAGGGGTACACACCCAGGGGTACACACCAGGGGTACACATCAGGGGTACATACCAGGGGTGCACACCAGGGGTACATCCCCAGGGGTACACACCAGGGGTACACACCCAGGGGTACACACCAGGGGTACACATCAGGGGTACATACCAGGGGTGCACACCAGGGGTACACCCCAGGGGTACACAGTCAGGGGTACACACCCAGGGGTACATCCTCAGGGGTACACACCCAGGGGTACACACCAGGGGTAGTGGTACACACCAGGGGTACACACCCAGGGGTACACACCAGGGGTGCACACCAGGGGTACATCCTCAGGGGTACACACCCAGGGGTACACACCAGGGGTGCACACCAGGGGTACACACCCAGGGGTACATCCCCAGGGGTACACACCCAGGGGTACACACCAGGGGTAGTGGTACACACCAGGGGTACACACCCAGGGGTACATCCCCAGGGGTACACACCCAGGGGTACATCCCCAGGGGTACACATCCAGGGGTACACACCAGGGGTACACACCAGGGGTACATACCCAGGGGTACACACCCAGGGGTTCATCCCCAGGGGTACACATCTAGGGGTACACACCAGGGGTACACACCAGGGGTACATCCCCAGGGGTACACACCCAGGGGTACATCCCCAGGGGTACACATCCAGGGCTACACACCAGGGGTACATCCCCAGGGGTACACACCAGGGGTACACCTCCAGGCGTACACACCAGGGGTACACCCCAGGGGTACACCCCCAGGGGTATACACCAGGGGTACACACCAGGGGTACACCTCCAGGGGTACACACCAGGGGGACACCCCCAGGGGTACACACCAGGGGGACACCCCCAGGGGTACACATCAGGGGTACACACCAGGGGTATACCCCCAGGGGTACACACCAAGGGTACACACCAGGGGTACACACCAGGGGTACACCCCAGGGGTACACCCCCCGGGGTATACACCAGGGGTACACACCAGGGGTACACACCAGGGGTATACCCCCAGGGGTACACACCAAGGGTACACACCAGGGGGACGCCCCCAGGGGTACACACACCAGGGGTACACACCAGGGGTACACCCCCAGGGGTACACCCCAGGGGTACACACCAACGGGTACACACCAGTGGTACACAGCCACGGGTACACACCAAGGGTACACACTCAGGGGTACACACCATTTTGCTAGTGGTCTGGGACTTGACTTTCTCCCCGGAGTGTATAGGTGAGTTTTAAGTGTAATTTGTGTGTATGTTGGGGGGGTGATGATTGTTGCATGGGGGTGATGATTGTTGCATGGGGGGTGATGATTGTTGCATGGGGGTGATGATTGTTGCATGGGTGGGTGATGATTGTTGCATGGGTGGGTGATGATTGTTGCATGGGGGTGATGATTGTTGCATGGGGGGGTGATGATTGTTGCATGGGGTAATGATTGTTGCATGGGGGTGATGATTGTTGCATTGGGGGTGATGATTGTTGCATGGGTGGGTGATGATTATTGCAGGGGGTGATGAATGTTGCATGGGGGGTGATGAATGTTGCATGGGGGTGATGAATGTTGCATGGGGGTGATGATTGTTGCATGGGGGGTGATGAATGTTGCATGGGGGTGATGATTGTTGCATGGGGGGTGATGATTGTTGCATGGGGGGTGATGATTATTGCATGGGTGGGTGATGATTGTTGCATGGGGGTGATGATTGTTGCATGGGGGTGATGATTGTTGCATGGGGGGGTGATGATTGTTGCATGAGGGGTGATGATTGTTGCATGGGGGTGATGATTGTTGCATGGGGGGTGATGAATGTTGCATGGGGGGTGATGAATGTTGCATGGGGGTGATGATTGTTGCATGGGGGTGATGATTGTTGCATGGGTGGGTGATGATTGTTGCATGGGGGTGATGATTGTTGCATGGGGGGTGATGATTGTTGCATGGGGGGTGATGATTGTTGCATGGGTGGGTGATGATTGTTGCATGGGGGTGATGATTGTCCTGGTGAAGTCATAGCACCAGCGGGAAGACAACTACACCCTCTATGGTTCATAATGTAGTCTGTATAAATTGTGATGAGGAGAGAGAGAGAGAGAGAGAGAGAAAGAGGTGGGGGGAGGGGGGTATAGGTGAGTGTGGGTGCAACAGGTGACAGGGGGGGGGGTACTCGTGTGGGACCCCCATTTTTCATGAGCATTTTCCCCACCTGGATTCTGAACTGCAGTAATGTATAGTGATATCTCTCTCTTGCCTCCCTGCTCACCTATCCTTCCTCACCTACGTCTCTAGCCTCCCTGCTCACCTATCCTTCCACACCTACGCCTCTTGCCTCCCTGCTCACCTATCCTTCCTCACCTACGTCTCTAGCCTCCCTGCTCACCTATCCTTCCACACCTACGCCTCTAGCCCTCTCTACAATGTCTGGTGCTGGGTAAAGGAGCCGAGGTTTCCTCTAGACATGATCTACTGATTGATGACTTGTTGAGAAGACATCAAGAACAGAGTAGCTGTTGGGTCCCGGCTCCTGACTCGTTGAGTGCCGCCACAGTCACACACAATAATGACCACTCTTGTAAGAATGAATAAAGCGATCACACTCCTGGACAGAATAGTGATGGTTCACTCGAATTGTCCAGAGTGTGAGATGTGTCGCTGGATGACTCCACCGGCACTAAGTCAACGATGGTACTGTTCGGTTGGGTATTAATCAACAGAGGGTCTAAACAGTTGGGTATTAATCAACAGAGGGTCTAAACAGTTGGGTATTAATCAACAGAGGGTCTAAACAGTTGGGTATTAATCAACAGAGGGTCTAAACAGTTGGGTATTAATCAACAGAGGTTCTGGTCAATGGAGTATTTATCAACTGAAGAGAATTCAGTTGATAAATACTCTCGCTGATGAACGGGGATTCATCAAGGGAAAGAGCCAAGTCATTATGACTATGGCTTGAGAGGAGCCACACCAGCCAGAGAGGAGCCACACCAGCCAGAGAGGAGCCACACCAGCCAGAGAGGAGCCACACCAGCCAGAGAGGAGCCACATCAGCCAGAGTGGAGCTACACCAGCCAGAGAGGAGCCACACCAGTCAGAGTGGAGCCACACCAGCCAGAGAGGAGCCACACCAGCCAGAGAGGAGCCACACCAGCCAGAGAGGAGCCACACCACCCAGAGAGGAGCCACAGCAACACTTGACGCAGACGCCACAGCAAGACCTGACGCAGACGCCACAACAAGACCTGACGCAGACGCCACAGCAAGACCTGACGCAGACGCCACAGCAAGACCTGACGCAGACGCCACAGCAAGACCTGACGCAGACGCCACAGCAGTCCCTGACGCAGACGCCGCAGCAAGACCTGACGCAGACGCCACAGCAGCACATCACTACGACGCACTAAGCACAAGTGTTGTCTTCAAGATGTCATCACTCACGCGGCCATTAACACATCAACAACATAAACAATGGGGCGCCATTTCTGTGCGTCACATTATCACTCCAAAGGTCACTGGGCCGCGCAGGATTCACTTCGACACTCCTTCATATGGAGATTTCAACGAGGAGGGTAAATAGTTATCCAGGGGAGGTAAGGCAGAGACTTGGGTATCCTACCTTCATGGTGGCAGAGTTGTGACACGCGCACCACCTCCTCCTTCAGACGCTGCGCGGTATATGAACACTTGTTGGTCTTCACTTGTCTTATATACCAGCCGGGCCTCTGCCTTTCAAATATGCAAATTAACACAGTCTTACCATTTAATTCAGGAATCGCCGAGACGATGTGGAAGTGGGCTAGAATCCCGGATCCTCAAACGACCCAATAGGAGTGTGGCACTCAGGAGAGCCAATGAGGGCTCGGTGGTATCTGTTGCTCCGCCTCCAGACGCTTGCTGATTGGTGGACAGAATAGCACACTGAGTTCCATATGTCAGCGTAAACTTGGTAGTTAGGTTCCACAATGTTTCGTGTGCCTGTGTATATGTGTATAGTGTATACGAGTGAGCCTTCATACGTCACCTCCAGCGACGAGACACATACGTCGACAAGTGTCAGGCGTGAAGAAACATACAGAAAAGAGACACATGTAACGTCTTCAACAGTAAACTTGGCGAGTGAGAGTTGGCTCTCTCTCTCTCTCTCTCTCTCCTCTTTACATCATACCCCTCCACTCCCCGCCCGGGGCCAGGCCGCTCGCTCTGAATGAAAGAGAAGGTGTCTACTCTCTCTACAGGAATGCCTCGCTACAGTGCCTGGGGAGGGAAGCGCCTGGGTACAGTGCACCTGGAGACCAGCCTGTATTACCCTCCTCTACTGCTGTAGTTGACCCGCAGTGTCTCAAGCATCAACACTTGCTCTGGTAAGAGTGCTTGTGACCCGTGTCTCAGCGCGTGACCCGTGTCTCAGCGCGTGACCTTGGCACCCGCGCCGCCCCGGGCCTGCCGGCCGTGACGCAATGCTGCCGGCTCTCTCCGTCACGCCCCCCCCCCACACACACAGCTTACACAAGGAGACATGATTACTATCTACACAATACTCAGAGCAATTGACAGGGTTGAAAAGGATAAACTGTTTAGGACGGGAGGAACACGAACAAGGGGACACAGGTGGAAACTGAGTACCCACATGAGCCACAGAGACGTTAGAAAGAACTTTTTCAGTGTCAGGGTAGTTAATAAATGGAATGCACTAGAAAGTGATGTGGTGGAGGCTGACTCCATACACAGTTTGAAATGTAGATATGATAGAGCCCAATAGGCTCAGGAATCTGTACACCTGTTGATTGGCAGTTGAGAGGCGGGATCAAAGAGCCAGAGCTCAACCCCCGCAAGCACAACTAGGTAAGTACACACACACACACACACACACACACACACACACACACACACACACACACACACACACACACACACACACACACACACACACACACACACGGGGCCTGGTAGCCTGGTGGATAGCGCGCAGGACTCGTAATTCTGTGGCGCGGGTTCGATTCCCGCACGAGGCAGAAACAAATGGGCAAAGTTTCTTTCACCCTGAATACCCCTGTTACCTAGCAGTAAATAGGTACCTGGGAGTTAGTCAGCTGTCACGGGCTGCTTCCTGGGGTGTGTGTGCGTGGTGTGGGAAAAAAAAGTAGTTAGTAAACAGTTGATTGACAGTTGAGAGGCGGGCCGGAAGAGCAAAGCTCATCCCCCGCAAACACAACTAGGTGAATACACACACACAGGGGCAGGGCGGCAGGGGAGGCAGAGGCAACGGGTGCCGAGTTAGTAGATGTTATAGACAGGAATTTCCTAACACAACATGTTAAGGAAGACACAAGGGAAAGAGGAGGAGATACACCGAGCCTATTAGACCTGATTTTCACCCAGAACGTAGAAGACATCGAGAATTTTGAACATGAAATACCTCTAGGGGCCAGTGACCATTGTGTCCCAGTCTTTGACTACATGATGGAACTCAAACTTATGACCATGGGACAAGAGATCTGGGAAAGGAGAGTTGACTACAGGAAAGGGGACTACAGGAGGATAAGGGACTATCTGAGAGAAGTGCAGTGGGAGGAAGAAATTAGAGGAAAAACGGTCCAAGATATGATGAACCAAGTCATATGGAAATGCCAGGAGGCCGAAGAGATATTTATACCAACAGTAAGGGGAAAAAAATGAGGGAATATAATAACTCATGGTTTAATAGACAGTGTCAGGAAGCAAGAATGGCCAGCAGGCGGAAGTGGAGGAAGTACAGAAGACAAAGGACAGAGGACAACAGGATCAGATGCAACAGAGCTAGGAACGATTACATTAACATAAGACGAACATCGGAAAGGGACTATGAGAACGATATTGCAATCAAAGCGAAAAAACAACCTAAGTTACTACACAGTCATATAAGAAGAAAAATGTCGGTGAACGACCAAGTGACAAGACTAAGGAAGACAGAGGGGGCATATACTGAAAGTGACAAGGAAATCTGCGAGGCACTGAATGCCAGTTTCCATGGAGTGTTCACTACCGAGCCTGAGCAGCTCCCATTGTTAGGAGAGGTTACCCTAGATGAAAGGCTATCAGATATAGAGGTGACAGCAGAGGAGGTAATGAAACAGTTGACAACACTGGATGTAACTAAAGCAGTTGGACCAGACAAAGTATCACCGTGGATACTAAAGGAGGCAGCGCAGGCCCTCAGTGTGCCTCTGGCAATGATCTTAAATGAGTCATTTACGAAGGGAAAATTGCCCAGTTGCTGGAAGAAGGCAAATGTGGTACCAATCTTCAAGAAAGGAGATAGGGAGGAGGCACTTAACTACAGACCAGTATCACTGACAAGCATCCCCGGAAAAATACTTGAAAGAATAATTAGGCTAAGACTTGTTGCACAACTGGAGAACATTGGGTTTGTAAACAAACCCCAACATGGGTTCAGGGAAGGGAAATCATGCCTAACAAACCTTCTGGAATTCTATAATAAAGTAAGGAATAAGGCGGACAAGGAAGGATGGGCAGACTGTATATTTCTGGACTGCCAAAAGCCGTTGATACAGTACCGCACATGAGACATATTCGAACTTGAGAGGCAGGCGGGAGCAAGCGGAAAGGCCCTAGCATGGGTAAGGAAGTACCGAACAGGAACGAGCCAAAGAGTTCTGGTAAGGGGCGAGAAGTTGGACTGGCGAACAGTAACGAGTGGAGTACCTCAAGGATCGGTGCTGGGACCAGTTCTATTTCTAATATATGTGAATGACATGTTTACAGGAGTAGAGTCCTATATGTCGATGTTCGCGGATGACGCAAAATTAATGAGAAGAGTTGCAGGCGATGAGTCACAATAACGTGGCTGAAGTATGTTGACCAATCCACACACTAGAAAATGAAGGGACGACGACGTTTCGGTCCGTCCTGGACCATTCTCAAGTCGATGAGTTGTGACAGATGAGTATTGTAGGATCCTCCAAGAGGATTTGAATAAGCTGCAGAGATGGTCAGAGAAATGGCTACTGGAGTTCAACACGAGCAAATGTAAAGTTATGGAAATGGGACTAGGTGATTGGAGACCAAAGGGACAGTACACAATGAAGGGGAACAGCCTACCTGTGACGACGCGAGAAAGAGACCTGGGGGGTGGACGTAACACCTAATCTATCTCCTGAGGCACATATAAATAGGATAACGACAGCAGCGTACTCTACACTGGCAAAAGTTAGAACATCATTCAGAAACCTAAGTAAGGAGGCATTTAGGGCGCTTTACACTGCCTACGCGAGGCCAGTCTTAGAGTATGCCGCTCCATCATGGAGTCCCCATCTGAAGAAGCATATAAGGAAACTGGAAAAGGTTCAGAAGTTTGCGACGAGACTCGTCCCAGAGTTACGAGGGATGGGGTATGAAGAGCGCCTGAAGGAACTGTGCCTTACGACACTAGAAAGAAGAAGGGAGAGGAGGGACATGATAGGAACGTATAAAATACTCAGGGGAATTGACAGAGTGGACATAGACGAAATGTTCACACGGAACAGTAACAGAACGAGGGAACATGGGTGGAAGCTGGAAACTCAGATGAGTCACAGAGATTCCTCATTCCCTGAGACACATCCCTCACGTGAGGGGCAGGTGTCAGGGGTGAGACTTTCTCACCGTCGCTGATGAGTTAAGACTCACCGTCGCTAATGAGTTAAGACCACCGTTTGTGAGTAAGGTAGGACACACAGTCGCTTGTGAGCATGTTAGGAGTCACTGTCGTAATGAGTAATTTAGGCCTCAATGTCGTTGTATGGTATGAGTCATTGTCGTAAGACTCGTCGTCTTGGATGAGTGAGGAAAGACTCACCGTGGCTGGGCTGAAGCAAGAGTTAGAGTGACTCAGGAAGATGAATACACTACAGTGCCTCACGTGTCACATTCATCCATCATATTTCATCTCATTTATTTAATTCGTATTTAACTGTATATTTGACCCTCATGTTGTGAGTCTCTCTCACTCACAGCTTTATCCATTCCTCTTTCTTCCTCCTTACACTTCCTTACTTCCCCCATTTCCCATGCCTCTTTCTGCTATTTCTAGTGCCATTCCCCACCCCATTTCTTGCTATCTCTCATTCCTGTTTCTCATCGGAATTCTTGGCATGATGCGACACCTCTCCTTTCTCAAGGCCTCGACACACTCCAGGCGGCGGGTGCTGTTACCTGAAGGGAAGGCAGGGCATCTGTAAGGACTGGAGAAGCTCTGTGCTCAAGGTTTGTGAATCCAGCGTGAGTGTAGTGACAGCTGGTGAGTTTTTTCAGTATTATTTTCTACCACAGACGTGGGCACACATTTTGCAATGCTAACCAGCATTTATACATTTCTTTTGTCCTCCATAGACAGGGTTAGAGATCTTTTAAACATATAATTCAGGGATTTACTGAACAATCAACCACAGAAGGTGATTGTAGTGCTTTTAAAATGCTAAGCTAACCTACAGACATAAATACACAGATTTACGTCTGTCCTCCATAAACAGTGTTTGATGTGTCTCTTACATAGTGTCATTAGTGTGCGTTTACAAAGGAGCAGTGCAATTGTGACCAGCTTCCACATAACCTGTATAAAAATACACACACATATACATATTACACATATACCTACACATATCCACATAAATATACGTACACCTA